AATTCAGTACATATTGCTCAGAGATGGATTATTTGCTGTGGTGGTGACTGTCACTGATCCTGCTTCACTTGCCTTACCACCCTTAGCATATATTTATTTTTCTGTTTATTTTCTCATTTTGGCTTGTATTTCTGTCCACATCTTGAAATATATAAGTGTTTTTCCAGCAATCTCTGCATTTCCAAAATTGCTGGATCTCTTCTATGAGCTGCATCACAACCTGTCTGCTTTTCCGTAATCCTATTTGAATCTGATGTAAAGAGTCCCATAACAGAGCCCAGATGTCGAGCTCACTGCTGCATTCTCCAATGGACACAGCCCTCCAGGGAAACATTAAGTCTCCTAACTGTGGGATATCATGAAATTCAGACCTACTTGGTCAAAAAGCTGACTGCCTACACAAATTCCTCAAGTTACTTAATTGTCACAGGCCAGCACCAATTAGTGAGTGAACCTGTATGTTGCTCTGATTATCCTGTCCTCAATGCTGGAGAGGCTTGTGATGTTCCAGGACTGCATATGAAGTCAACCACCAGAAAAATCTTTATAGTCAGCAGATCCAGTGCTCTGTCTATAAGTTGTATGGCTATTCTCAGTATTTCCTGGCCCAAACATCTAATGGTAAAATTTGTACCCATAAATCAGTTTTCCAGCAGAGCTGGAGGGATGTTTGTGTGGATAAGATCACAACATTCTAAAAGGCCTTTTCAAAAATGAGCTGTTGATGATATTATTGTCAGTGCTGTTAGCTCTAGTCAAACTAGCTCCAGGCTAGCTGAACCCTGCATGCACCTAGCACTGACTACTCGTTCAGGAATTAAGACCTTTAACAAGCCTTCATAATTCGCCTATATCTCACTGATTTGTCACCACAGAAGAGTGCACTGCAGAGCCAGAAAGCCTGCTCAGAAACCTTCAAACTCTTTGTATAAATCAGATGATGCATGACCAAGGTCTGTGTAGATTCAAGCAGCAGTTGGATAAATTTTGGACTATTAAATAGAAAATACTATTTCTAGTCAAAAAGTGCTTGAGTTATGTAATGCTAGAAGTAGGGACAATGTTAGACAAGTATCCTTGCTGCATCCTTTCACTCTGCCCCATGCTCTTTGACCACACTGATCCTTCTGACCACTAAGTGAGAGGCTGCTGTGCTACCTGGACTTTTGATCTCATCTTGCATGTGCTTTTAAGTTCAAATGTTACATTCAGTTCTTATCCTAATTCAAAACATTTTTTAGCTTGTCCATCAGAGACAAAGGGTCCTGACATTGTTGGAGAATGAACTCCATTTTTCTCATAATCATCACATGGAAGATAATGCAATACTGTGGCAGGGAAAGAAAAATAAAAAAGCAGGAGTGTTTCCTATTTCCAATTGGGAATGGGCCAGTTCAGTATTACTGTATCCTCAATAGCTTTAATATCAGTAGTAACCAGACCCCACTCTGCTATAGGGTTACAGAATTGTTTTCCTCAGCAACACCCCACCCCATCTTACCTTCATGCACACATACAGCAGGACAGACAGCTTTCCCTTCTTTTGCCAAGTTGATTAGCTTGGTCTTTAGAGGTTCCTTGGCATCTTCAGGACAGGTAGGACTTCAGTGCATTCCTCAGTGCAATTGAAAGAGCAGCATGACTAAAAGTGCTTCCAGAGCTGGGTGTGCTTTTTCTTCTGGTCAGCTTTACCCAAATCTCCCCTCCTTATGAACTCACAAGAATCTTCCAGAAGGCTTCTACTTTCATCCAGTTCTACTTTCTTTCACAGTTTCTCCTGCCTTAGAAACAAAAATATGAAAACTGCACGAGTAGCTGCCTGTTGGGCAACTGCGATGGCCCTGAGGGCTCTGGCAAAAGGCTGTAGTCATCCCGCAGGCTCAGGCTAGCAAGGCATCCATTGCCAGGCAGGGCTCAGGGTCTCCTGTGCCTACCACAGAATGACACAGTGCTTCCCCAGTGCAACAAGATCACTGGCTGTATGGAAGCACAGCTGTATAGAAGCAAAGGGGTGTTTTCACCCAACAACCCTTAGAAGTGACAGTACCAGTCTTCGTGGCTGTGGCACAGCTGTTACTGAGAAGTATTAATGCTGTATCCTGTGGCAGGTCTAACTCAGAGAACATGCACTCACACACACAGAAGATCCAGAGGACTTTATACTCAAAGACCCACTGCTGTTTAATTGCAGGGCTTGTTGAAAGATACATTATTTTCCTGGGGAATCCTCCCATAAATTTCAAGGAAAAAGGTTGTATTTTGATTCCTATTTCCACCCCAGTGCCTTCAAGTGATTCAGAAAGCCTATTCTAAACTGTGCTTCTTCATCTGAAGACTGTAGTTTAACAGCTGTCTGGGCATGTTGCCTTACCTGACGCACACTGCCACCAGCAGCTCTTTCCAGGGAAGTAAAATATCATCTCTCCATTATTTTCCCTTTCCCTCTCAGGACCCCTGGGATGCTCAGCCAAAGGGCTGCTGATGCCATCATGCTCATCTCAGGCGTTAGTTTGTTTTGATTTTATTGTGAATTAGTGCTATGCTGCTTCTCCCACCTTTCTGCTCCTTTCTTGCGCAGGGGACATTAACGCTTGCACAGGAAACATCATGGAGTTGCTCGAACTGTCACACCACTGGAAGCAGTTCTGCTTTCACACTGAATGATCACATTCATGACAGCTGTGGGACCCACCCAGCCCTCAGCCCTGCTTTATCTGCCCTCCACTTCAGAGGGGACAGTTCTTGTCCCTAAAGCAATTGCGTTTCGTCTCTGTGAAGCATATTTGTGAGAAAAAGTAAGGATCTAATAAGATAACATACCTTTTCATCTTGGTGCTTGCGCAGCTCTAACTCCTCCTTACACACTGATGCTTGTCACCTTCATTGACCTGTTGACTGAAGAAACATGCATTTTTCATCAGTCAGTTCAGACCCATCAGACCATCAGTTATGCCACTACCTCACTGAAGATTCTCTACCCATACTGTTGTTCAGAAAAGCCACAGAGCAGTGCAATGTGGTAAAAATTCTAAAAGTTGTGCAGATAGCTTAGTTTTAGTTTTAGTAGGACCCGTATTACATGGTAATGGAGAATACTTCATTTGTTTCTCCATGTAAAAAATGGACTAGATTTTTAAGATTTTAAAAAATAAAGGTTACTAACCATTGCCAGGGTCACTGAGATGTATAATCCACAAAAGCACCTCTTCCCACTTTGCTGGGATCCATACCAGTGACCACAGCTGAGGGTGCGATGAGGGAGGCAGCACGTATCAATATACACGCTTGTGGCAGCAGTGTGTGAGGGAAGATGACCAGAAGCTACTCACAGTGAAAGGAGGGCCAAAGTGGTTTCAGGCTTCAGGGATTATGCACAGTTGATGTTTTGGGTTTTTTTTTAAACCCTAAGGGAGCCAAAATCACCTGCATTTTTTGATAGCCTATTACTTTTTCTACCTAGACGCATTCTACATAGAGAATCCTCTCATACAGTGCCAGCCAAGCTACACAACTTACTATTCCAACACTACAGGAGTTTGGAGGAGGCTTGCACGGTATGTAAAGTCAACAACCAGAGGACTAAATGCTGGCAACTAGTTCTGATGTTCCCAGAAGTACATATTACCCTGGAAGATAACCACTGACACTTCTCAAGGATTATTCTCATAAAAGTAAGCAAGATAAGATTTCAGAACACAGCAAGACATAGTATTCCCATGCTTCTTATAGCGAGGAAAACAACAAACAGAAACAGATACACAAACATGGCCAATTTGGTTTTCCTCGAGTTGTTTCTTTTCACCTATTACAATTGATGGATCCAAGCTCACCAGCAGGAAACAAACAATAAATGCTTTTACAGAAACAAAGTTTGTGTTCAATGGTGTAGATGATTTCTTCATGTTCTTAAATTCCCCTTCTTATTACTTTGCTTCCATGGATCTTGCTCAATTTGATCTTTTTTAACGTAAAAGGAAAATTGATGCACAGCAAAATCTACCAAAGCACCTTTTGTGTTTTTATGGGCAGTGGTATGTTTTGCTGTTTCTTGTGAGAAAGCTCACAAATCAGAGGTAAGCATAAAACTTTTACACCTCTGGCATGGTGTAATAGATTTCAAGCTTCTTAATCAAGTTTCAGAGCTGTAAGTTGATAATTTTTGGCTTTAAGGACTGCAATTTGGAAGCAAATGGTATGGAGGAAGCAGACAGTAGTAAAGGAGATTGATTAGCATTAGGGAAAGAGAATGCACTGATTCTACGATACCACCAGTGGGGACAGCATCTTTGGTGCTGCCCAAAGTGTGCTGTAGGTCCTCCTGGTGCTAGGATCTCTGGTAATGAAGAAAGATGTTCCCTCCTTCCTATCACTCCCTGTTTTCATACATAAAAGGGTATTGCCTACATGAATTGTCTCTTCCTATACTTCCATGATTTTGTCAAAGGAGCCTTTCGAAATCTGAATACGCAAAAGTGCACTGACAGATATGGCTGGGAAGCAAGAATCCTATCCGTAAAAAAGCCCTATAGATTTCAGCATTTAGGTTTGCTCTTAGGCCAGAACTTGTCCCAATTTAATTGCATATGCTTTTGCTAAAGAAACTTCTCAGGAAAAAATAAAGTTTGATTGAAACATGTTTGTTGGTAGAAACATCAATGAACTGAGATAAAATATAGTCAAAACACTACAATCTAGTCCTGATGCTTGGTTCTACTTTAGAAATAATTCTCAAGTTCATTTTCTATAAGCATATTAAATCTACCTAATTAGATCAGGGCAGGTGATATGAAAATTCAAATATATCTATGTGACAGCTCTCAGTGGGAATTTTTCATTTCACTGGAAAAATAATCTGAGTCCCCACAGATGTGACAAAAGGTACCTATATAAAAATTAAAATAAACCACTTTAATATTTGTAAGTTTGTAACATTGAAGTTGTCTAGATTTTGAGATACGGGGTTTCTATAAAGATAATAATTCATTTTTACTTTGTAAAAGTATAGTAAACCGAAAAATTCAAATATTTTATTTACTTCACCTAAAAAACAAGCAACCCATGAGTAAGATATACATAGGTTTCCCAGATTTATCCCTAATAAATTTTTTAAGATTTATACAATTTCTACAGAAACATACAGTGTATCAAAATCTGCATAAATCAAATTTATAAAATATGTAGAAATGCATAGTGATATTATCATCAACTTACAAAGCAAGAGTATGGGAATTATTTTTTTCCAAGCCAGCTATAGTAGGAAAAAGTCATTACAGCAACAGCTTCTTATGATCTCATGTTTTGTAAGGTTTCAGTCTCACATACAGATTCATATTCACATACAGCATCAGCTTTCAATGAATTGCACATAATACCCATTTAAAATGCACACCCACACAATTTATGTGCCACCATTCTTTCTTTTATGCATAGTTGTATGATTAAATTAATCTACCCAACACACAAATGGAGTCAGTTTTCATACACACAATTAACAAGTACTGGCACACAACCTTATTTTCCTTTTTTTTTTTTTTCCAGTTTCTCCCTCCTTTATTTTCTATTTTTTCATAGCTCTGAAAGGATAGATGAGAAGTTTAAAGAAACTAGGAAAGATCCCAGACCAATAGATCAGTGCAGACAGCCCTATAAAGATCAAACTCTGTCACCAAATATGATACATAACCCTTGTTAACATCAGTGGGAGCTGCATGCAGTGCTATTCTAGACTTCAGGGAAGTATTTAGTCATACTTAATTGTGTGACATGTTATAGGGATAACTGTTATAAATTCAGCACACTGATGTCAACATTTAAGTCACAAAATCTGGACAAAGGAAGTGAGGATAAGTCATTTCTCCTCCACCTCTCTATTCATTCAGAGTAAATATTTATACTCCTAAGGGAGTTTGCATCAACTCCTTTCCAGAATATATTAAGAAACAACTTCTTCACATTCTACTCTGTACATTATAGCACCGAACAGTTGTTTTTTGTGTTTGTAATCCCTCCGGAGAAGTTGCAAATGACAAAAATAAGAGGAAAATTAGTATGAATAAATGTGGTTTCAGGATTTCCATTTCTTTTTTCGAATCTAAATCTGGCATCCAAACTGGCTGACAGATGTCTTTGTAATGAACTACGCAGATGTGTTATAAGCTGGATGCTTTTTGCTAATTAAAAGTTTTAGTCCACCTCTAATTGATTTCCATTCAAAATAACAATATAAATGAAGCATTTGATTATTTCCAAGTTTTACATAATCGTGCAGCTTTTTTTTTGTTTATTTTAAATATTTTTATGTAAGGCATGGTTTAAACAAGCAAGTTAGTGCTTATAAATTCTTAACTGGAATTGTGAGGGTGCTTACCTCCATTAAAATGTACCGCATTAGCACTAAACTTGACACTCTTCCTTCCACCGTACAAAGCATTCAGTCGAAGTAGAGCAGCCAAACTGGCATAGGAATTTGTCTTTGCTAACACAGTAATTACATAGGGTGATACAGTTGGTCCCTACCCCTGGTGACAGCTCAGAAAAATCCATTGTATAATTTTCAACAAATGCTCTTCTTGTGAAAGAGAGAAAGGAAAGAGGCACTAAATATGTTGAAATTCATCTTCCAAAAAAGCAGCATGACTGTGAGAGAAGGCCACCCTGGCTAATAACCTGTGGCAGTGCTTAGTAAGATGTAAAATTAAATAAAAATATACAACAGGTTGATAATCACCAAGTTCTATGAAAATCTGGTTACTCCAACCTTTTCAAGTGTGTGTAAAAAAACTGCCTTCAGACCCCTGAGTGTAATCCCAAAGAAGACGACAACGCTTTTAACTATGTTCCTATGAAACATAGCTAGCAGCACATTAATTTACCAACATCTTAAAACAAAAAGATGTAAACATCTACAGAGTTTAAGGTAAAGCAGTTTGTAAACATTAACTGCGGATGATAATGTTATTGTAATAATCACAGTTCCTCTATGTCCTTCATCCAAGCCAGGAGGCTCACAGCTGTACAAAGTTAATAACTGCAGCAGTTTTCAGGCTATTTTCAGTCCTGTACAAATGAATGCGTCAGTAGGTAGGTTTTGTCTGTCTACACACTAAGAATGTTGTTCATTTCCCATTTTTGTGTTGCTTTACTGGAGTCACAGTCTGAAATGAAAACTTGATGGAGGACTTCGGAGCGATCCAAGCACTTCCCTGACGGAATGTGAGTAAATCTGTGCAGATTCTGAAAAACAAAACCATCAGGAAAATGTGTTGGGCTTTTGTGTTTGGTTTATTTTTCTTTTGTTTGGGGTTTTTTTGTTATATTTTTTTTTACAACTGCAGTATAACTATTTACAAAACCAGGTTTCAGGGACCCAGAACAGATCAGTTCTATACTCATTTTACTATCTGTTAAAACTAGAGTTTCATAGCCTTCGTAGCCTTTTGGTTCATGTAGGTCCACTTGAGATGCCTCCTGTTTCTCTTAGGCAACAAACTGCTAAGAAAATGAGCAAAACTGTATCTAAAATGCTTCTAGCCTTTTCATCCATCCTGAAACCAAAATGAAAGATTAATTTTTGAAGTCAGCTCTATGAGGATTTCCCTGGGCAGATCCTCCTCTAGTTAGCCCTCACAGAATGCAACTGCACAACAATAATATTAACAACACAGGGGGGAAAAGAAGTACTAACTTGTCTCCCTGTTTGGCTGGCAGAGGAAGAGCAGAAAGTATAAGAGTTAAGTCTGGCTTCTGGAGCAACAGGAGGCTGCCTAAGAAACTGCAAACCTATTGTGCCAGGCACATTCAGGCTGAGTGGCACATTTGTCTCTTTCCAAAGCCCCGTGCTCCCTTGCTCAAGTGTCCTGCATTTGCAAAGTGGCCTGTGGTTCCCCCCCTGACCCACTGTGCCAGATGCAGCCCTGACTCACTGACTGATTCCATCTAGTGTGGAGGGGAAGGGAGCAGAAGCAAGCCCATGGCACTGCAGCGGGCCCAACTGTGCCCATCTCCCCTGGACATGAGGACACTCTCTGCCACCTCCACACACGTGCATGGCCAAATGTTGGTTCAGCTCAATACTTGCTCCTTCTTTGTGGCCAGTATGGGGGTCCTCTACTTGGAAAGTTAAGTGGATGTCTGAACAAAAGCAACAGGCAGACCACTGCCAGCCCTGTTGTTAAGATGCTTGCTTATGGGCACTGAAGCCCTGCTACTGCTCAGTGCTCAAGCAGCACACGTTACACCACCAAACTGACACACAAGCTTTCATTCCAGAACCAACCAACCAACCAGATAAAATCTCCTGGCAGCTTTCATTTACACAAGGCCACAACATTTTTCAGCAGTTCATAAGCATTTAATTCCTTACACCTTCCTCATACTCTCTGTACTGCACAGCAGAGTGTGCCAACTTTGTACTATTTGCTTGGTTGCACACTCTTGGTGGTCCTTTCACTCTCACCCTCCCTTCTTTTTCCTTTTAGAAGCCAGTCAGTGTTTTGTTCTACAGCCCAGACCATGCCTACTGGGCTTCCTTATAACGTGTGGTAATAAGCAAACAATTACACAACTTGGTACCAGTGTAGAGAAAATGGATCTTCTTGCGTAAAAGAAATGCTTAGAGAGAAGCCAAGTAACATGCTGGGATGCAGTAGAATGGCTGGAGACTTAACAACTGCTATGTATTATTCCAGTATTAAAACCAAAGTCAGCAGGCACTGAAACACTGCTTATTGATTTTTACATTTCAGATTTAAAGAATTTTGTCTGTCTATATGGCACAAGAAAACTGATCTGGGCAGAAATGGCACTACAGTGCCTGGTATTTCCTAGCTATATGTAAACACTAGAAAGAGTGAAGTGGCTTAAAGGATAGCAAACAGATTTCCCTGCACTCAGTGCTCGCATCTTTCAGACAAACAAGAAAAAATCCAGATAATCAGCTAACAAATTATTAAATATGCAATATGCTAGTTAGACTGAAGAAAAGTTGACACAGAATAGTTTCTTAGATACAGAACCAAGTTACGTGTGGCTATATCCAGGGATAACGTCACCCTTAGACTATTCAGTCTAATTTTTTAAGAGACAAACAGAAATAGAACCTTAGACTTTTTTTAAAGTAACACTTACAAAACTACTATGAATAGAGAACTCACAGATGTAGTGAATAAATAGACTATAGCAGCCTTCACATGTATATCAGCTAACATTCCAAGTCCTTATTAAAAATTTACAGATTTTACAATAGCATTATAACACCACCACACCCAGAATTAACAACAGAGCATGTTATTGTTATTAGAGAATGGCTAATGAAGAGGAAAAAGAAATACTGAAGAAGACAACACAGAAATGCAGATTAAGTTACATTTACCTACTGCTATGCAGGCTTAAAATTACCTTGTCTTTAAACAGAGAAACACTTCAATTTAGACTGCCCAAAATTAGACCTAATACTGACTTTAGCTGCTAAATGCACTCCAGCATTTAAGCAATCTTCTCACAGCATACATGAGATAAAGAAACTTTCTTGATAGAAAACATGCAAGCAGAGAGGGTGATGGCACTAAAAGCTTTTATAAACTTTGTCACTGGTAGTGGACATGCTCTTTTCTTCCTGTGAGACAAGTGCTAACTCCTAACAAACCCGTGGCAGCACATGTAGCCTCATAAGATTTCTCATAATGACTCATAATCTCATAAGATTTTCCTTAAAGTAAGGACAGAAGACAGCTACAGAAGACAGCAACTAGAACCGCTAAACAAAAGCACCTTTCCCTAGAGGAAGTTTTTCTGGCAAGCATGTATTTCCAAAAACATGCCATTAAAATTTACTCTACTCGATTCAGTTAGCCTTGTCATAGATCTTTAATTTAAATACACATAAAATAATTTTAAAAGGTGCAAAAAACAGGATAAAATTTAAAAATTTTTCTTATACATATCTGTTGCATACCTTGAAGAATTGCCAGTCCTTGTATTCATTCTGATTACAGTGTGTAATCATAATTTTGGATCCATCTGGTCCTTTAGTTAAGCACTGATCATACTGCATGAGTTGATTAGCTTCGTTGATTCGGAAAAGCTAACAGAAAAAAAGAAGCCATTTTTTTAACAGTTGACTCAAGGAGTATTTTAGAAACACTGAAAATGCAAGGGAACTGCTACATTCAAAAAAGTCTCCAGTTTTATTACACCTGTCTTTCAGGAGGGTTCTTTATTTTATACAATGTAACACATCTTTACTATCACAAAGTAAATTTCATGGATAACTTTCCTGTAGGATTTAGAAGGCTGAGAAACTTAACCAGCAAGACAAAAATGGTGAAGGGATTCCTATCGAGCAGACTTCTGAAAAGTGTTTGATTAAAAGATTTGATGGCCAAACAGTTCACTATCTTTGTAAAAGTCTGGTAGCAAGTCCTTAGTCCTGGACAGTAATTTCATGTGAAAACAGTAAAACTTTGGCATTTTACCCACGGAGGAAATCAAACCCATGCATCTAGATATAAAATATCTCAGCTACTTCTTATGAAATAATTATTACAGGGGGTTTTGGGTATCATATATCATATCATATATCATATCATATCATATCATATCATATCATAGTTTAGGGAACCTTTTCATTAAATATCAAAATAAAAGAGACATTTCCAGGGCTACTAAGAGCTAATCCATATATGATTTGTAAAAAACATCATCCTGCATGTGATTTCTGTCTGATGACTGTCATCACAAAACTGCCTGGTTTAAGTTTACAATGGTTTAAATAAGGACTTTAAATTCTGAAAAAATTTCCAACTGAAAAAGGAGGTGTAGAGACAGAACAGCAGGTTTGTGTGGTAATGTGAAGGTTTGTGAAGATACAGGTCAAATACAAGAGAAGCTTGGGTTGCAATCATCTAATAGTAATTATGTTCTGTCAATTAATTTGTAAATGGAGCAGACAAATTTCTATTCAATTTCTTCTCTCGTGTGGTGGAAGATGAGTTATTGCACAGAAGTGTTTTATACTTCCATTAGAGCAAAACAACCTTGTAAAATAATTGAGACAGAGTGAATAAAAGGGTTATCCCGAAGGATAAATTTTTAAGTGAAGATAAGTGATGAATCAGCAGCAATGCTAAGAGCCGTAGTTATTCTAATGCACTGATATGATTGCTTCCTCATGCTTTGGAGAAGAGACTAAGAATTTGCCTTCAGTTTTGCACCAAAATGTTTGAAATGGTATTTTCAGATTGCCATTCTTTAGCAATGTCATTATGCTTATGGAAAACCCTAACTCCCATCTTTGTAGCAGGCACCTAAGTGACTTTATGTACAGGCTTAACAGAAAACCAGCCTGTTATCAATCCAGAGCAATCAATTCACCTTCAGACTTGCCTCCAACCTCCTTACCTGATTTCCTCCCATTCTGTGGCATGGGCCAAGCTCAACAAAGCCACCGTTGGTGTGCCCCATGCTGTCGATGCAGTAAGAGGTTTCAAAGCCTCTAATCTGGAAAAGAGGTTTTGCAGTCTAAGTTACTTTCGAGCAAAAATAAGTGACAAGGAGTTCAGAAAATTCCCATTTATTTTTCAAACCAGAAACAGGTATCTGACAGAGAGAGATGAGACAAACCTGTGTATGAAATTTAAATACTGATGCTAACCGTTCTGGAAGATGGAGCTTCAAGAAAATGCCCATGCTAATTTGCAGGCTCTTATGTGAGTTGGAGTACACTGATAAATTAGAGTTGCAGAGCTTAGCCCCAAATTAACAGCACCAAAATATCAAGTATTTTAATTTATTCAATCTGCTATTAGAGCATGTTCCATCTCCCATGTCTTCATAAATAAAGCAGGAGCTCAGCTAAGTTGCTCTCTCTCATCTTGTAGATGAAGAGAAGCGGGATGCAGAGAAGTTATGCACAGCAGCTATTACCCACAGCCAGGCACAGCCCACTGGCCCTGCTGCTCAGATGTACCTTCTGCAGCAGCAATTACATGGAAAAAAAAAAAGAAATAAAATTGACGAGAGGCAGGCACAGACATAGGAATAAAGAACAGAAGTCCTGCCATAAAGCGTGCCTCAACTGCTGATTATCTCACTCCCTTCTCAGAAGGGCCAACAAGCAGATTTACAAAGACTTCATGACACAAATAACATTTTCTCCAGATCTATTTTCTTTGCCAGAGCCTCTTTCCCCTTTGTAATGGTACAGAAAATCTGGAGGACTAGGCTTAGACTTGACTTCCAGAGAGCATTAGGGAAGATGAACCCCTTTCATCTCTTATGGTTTGGAAATGCAATCAGTGTGGTGTTACAAATAGGGGGGGGGGAAGGAGTGATTTATCAGATGTAGGATAACTAGCACCCTGTGAAGAAGAGTTGAAGAAAACTTCAGAGAAGTCTCTGAACTTAGAACTTTCCTGTTGCTTCACCAGACCTGCTCGCTTTTACCAGAGATGATTTCCCGCAAGGTTGCCATTATTATTTTATTCTCTTTAAATGCTTTCACCTCAGTGATTAGTTTTATAAAATGTGCCTTCATAACCCTTTATGTAGATTCAAAAGAAGGTCTATGGCTAATATAAGTAACTGATGCTTTGTGCTAGCTTTCAGGTAAGAAATCAAGGTAGCATTGTTCACTTGGTCCTTCAGATAAAAGATTTTCATGTGCATGCTCTGTATTGCTAATTCTTCTGAGAAATTAGAGATGACACTTCCTTAGCCATAAGAAACAACACAGATCTGTACTTTTTAATCCACTTCTGAAATTACAAAAACAGGTCCATCATATCTTGGGAAAGAAGGTTAAATTTGGTGGGACACAGGAGTTCTTCTCAGCTAGCAAGAAGATTTTCTGATTTTGCCTCAACAATCTGCAAAAGTGAAATTAATACGAGAGGGCAAGGCTGGAACCAACTGCAGAGGGGAAAAAAAATAAAATCTAAAAGCAGGCAGAGGACCTGTAGTAAGTGCTCTCCAAGGTGTGGGCTAAATGCTAGAATGAGACAAGCAGGGTTCAGTGAGGTGTCCTGCATTCACCTGGTGATACGCTACCTCTCTCTGCCAACCACCTGAAAACGACACATTTATAACCACTTTCTTAATTTAGTGAAGTCATACTTATATACAGTAATGCTGGAGATGATAGTTACAGAATCATATCGAATTATTACATGCATATAAGGGACTCACTGAGGCTGTGACTGTATGAGTACACCCCAGTCTAGCAAGCGTGGGCAGAATGTACTCCACCTTGATTTCATAATCTATTTTCTAGGCCTTCCCAGAAAAATATTTTCACCTATTAATCTTCACCAATACTCCTACATGCAGGATTCACATTTTTTCTTTTTAGAAAACCTAAATTCCAATTATGGAAAAAAGAGCTTTACATATAACTGAAGACAGAGCTAGGCATAAATCATCCATCAATGACCTGTGGAGCTAATTAAAAAAATCACACCAGTGAAAGTAGATATAATTTTTTCCTGGGGTTATATTTCTATAGCTCTCTGGTTAGTACCACATATCTTAGTACAGCAGTAATCAAATAGCTTGCTCACAGAGTGATGTCAAGTAACAAATTCCTTCCTTTTGAATTCCCAATTTTTAAAAAAACCTTAAAAGACACAGAGGTTATGTGCTGTACTTACCTCTCCCCAGTCCACGTTTTTAGATGGTAAGGGATAATATGAAGTTATATCATATGCTATTTCTTCCATAAACCACTTAAAACTTTTGCAGTTGTGATCTTCACGGAATTTTTTCAGCTCAGATATATCTCCATAGGGTAGCGCTTTTGTCTCCGGCCGACTGGCATAGAAGTAATCTTTGTATTCGTCCCACCATACCTCTACAACTCTGACGTAGTTCTGTGAAGAACAAAGACACTGCTGTGACCTCAAAGTACACGCAACAGGTCAGGCACAACTCCACATTAATAACTGAAATTTAAGGATTTATTCTCTTGAAAAGTAGCAGCTTGAAATTATTATACAGCACTAATAAATTGTCGCCATCAGTAGATTACACAAAATGCGTGAATATTATTTTCAAATTGCTGTTTAGGACTGAAGCCAGCAAATTAAACTGGGTTGCTTAATGAGAGTGCAAAGTCTTTTTCTAAGGTTAGAAAATGTTTATTTGAAATGAAGCCTTTTCAGTTTTGTGTGCAATAAAATGTTGCATTCATTTGCTGTTACCAGAACTGCAATTCAGGGTTTCTATTCACCTTCTACAGTTTTAATACAGAGAATGATACATGTTAGTCCACTAATGGGGAAAAAATTCAGTCTTAAATGGGTCAGCTATTTGGAGAAGGGGGAAAACTGGATAGCTCACTTGGTAAACAAGCCTCTCTCTCACATCTTTCTTCTCATTCTCTTTGTTGGTTCCTACCTCTACATTACCTACACAAATTCTAGATGCACACCTTGCTTTGTACAATTCTTAAGCTTTAATGACCTGGTGTTAAAACAGTCTTAAAATCTGACTAAAGGTACAAATTATTGTGACTTTAACCCACATCCAGCACAAATTGAACAAAGCTATAAAAAAAGGACATTTATTATGGGGGATAGGAGGGTACCTGAAGAGGAAAAAAAGCTATTTCTACATCTTGCCTTGGACAGAGAAGTAACTTAATATTTAAAAACATTCAGCAGTGTTTTGTTGCATTCAGTAAGCAGATCGGAAGAGTCATGTAAGGTGTTTATATATGCAGTAAATATTTTTTTTCAGATTTTCAGAAGACTGAAATGGTTTTTATCATTTCCAACAAGGCAAACATATATCTTGCCTGCACTGAGCAATGGAGCTATCATTTGCTATCCTGCCACCCATTGCTCTGTTTCTACTCACAAATGTGTCCCCCTGGCCTCCCTTGTACTGGTCCTAGTCCTTGTTTCATCAAAATGTTAATCAATTCACGTTACTAATAAGAGACTTTTTGGGGGGGTGGTGCCAGGTTAGTTTTCTACCATTATACTAGGCTGGGACATCTTCTTTTCAACTAACTGCTGTCTTGGCTCAAGCCATACTCTAAAACCCTACCAGTAGTCATTGTCAAAGGTAATGTCTTGGAAGATTGCTCTGGGATTGGAATTTACAAGGAACCGTGTCTTTGGGAATGGGATTTACCAATGCCAAAACAGTACACAAGAGAAAGCTTAAACTAGGCTATAGGAAATCTTAGTAGAAGGGTTTCCTTTCTTCCTGCTGGTAGATGCAAACTGATATGGAACAGTTTTTCTTGATTCAAATTATCTCTTCAAATATAGACAGCTGGCTCACTCTTTTCTTGAGGTGGAGTCTAATTTTAATCTCACATCCTGAGTAACATTTCTAGAACCTGCAAGGTACCTGAGGAGCTACCAACCTTTACAGTGAAATGCAAAGCATGCAATTTTCTCAGGTGTCATTTACTGCTTCTTAACTAACAAATGCAGTCACAAAAGTCTGAAAAACGCTAGATTACAGAATTTGCTAACTCAGCCTAGGATCACACCCTATCAAGATAAAGGGGGATTTCAAACCCATGATCATCATCTCCAGGAGTGTGCTATAGTTACCGGAGTTGTTCATACATAGCTGGGGACAGCCCAGAAAAGGCTTGAAGGGCTGACATTAAGTAATATGAAATGTGATTTGTACCTCAAAGATGGTGGAGGAAGGCTTTAGAGCAAGAAGATGAGTTCCAGGAATTTCTACCCTTAATAACTGTGGGATTAACACAAAGATTTTTCTCCCATGAGGATGACCATCTTAGCTTTGGATACTAAACAGCTTTGATGAAGTGCTTTCTAAATTATTACTGATAATTTCAGCAGATTTACCTAAAACTGTTCTTATCTGAAATCAAAACCATCTTCAAGGTTATATCAAAACTGTACCTTTAATGTAGGAGAAGACCCAACATACACAGGGGGTGGATTCCCTTGCCAGCCCTGGAGACGATAGATGTGTCCAACACGAGAACAGGGAACAAACAGCAGTTTTCCCCCACACTGCCAGATCTACAAGTTAAAGCATAGGTATTATTAATATATATGCACAGGAATTTAAGACAGATAATAAATTATGGAAGAAATGTCAGCTACTTTTCTTACTATATTGACTGTGATATATTTACATATTTTTTGCTTCATTTGTAAGCATAAAGAAAATAGGTCTCTGAAATGAAAGGCTGCACTGAGTACATCTCCAACTCAGCCATGAAGCTACTCAACTAAAATACTTTGTTAAAAAGCTTTTTAAAAGGTTGGCCATCTCATTCCATTATTATTTTAAAACAACAGTAACAAATGAGTGCACAAAATCTGGAACTGGGTAATTTTTATTAGGACAGAATAAATGATATTTTGATTTCATTTCAGTACTTCATATGCCATCACTAAAGTGGGTTTTGGTTAGATGCCCATTCACATTTAAGTTTTTCTAAATAAAGACTGGTAAGAGATAAAGACGTCTTAGGTAACCCATTGCTCCAAGCAGAAACAGATTTTTTGTTAACTATAGTAGCTGAAAATAAAAAATGGGTAAAATATATTACCATTCTGAAATTCCCCCTCTCCCACACATCTTTGGATAATCCCTTTAAGGGAAAAAGAAAATATACCTAAATCTGAATTTAATTGCTCATAGTTTGCACAAGTTTAGTTGTAGCATCAAATCCAAATTCAAGCTAACTTTGGGGATGTTCCAAATTCCAGATCAAAAATACGACTCACCAGTATTAGGAAAAATGGGCAGAATAGTTTACTTTCTTCATTGCATCATGATATTAATTTTCTTATGTTTCATCAAAAAACCTCCTCAGATATGCAAGGCCATTCATAACATTTGCTATCTAGGAGCCAGCATACAAGACTGATAAACGCTTAGTTCTTCTGAAGATTGGTTGTGACCTACGTGAAACAAATTTGGAGGTCTCTACGTAATATGCTTTTAAATTACAAAACTACTGTATGTAATTTCAATCATGATTTTGCTCTAAGCAAGATGGAGAATTATATGGATAAAGACCCTGTGTATGTAACATCCTCCATAACTACCCTTTGCATATGCATTTACAGCTGAGCAAGTGCACTCAGAGCCTTCCTCTAAATCAAGAAGAGCAAGAGTAGCTAGAGGAGCTCTGAATGTACTTTTACTAAAATTCAGCTATGCTTTCTCAGATTGCTGCTGAGGATATCAGACATCTCCACTTTTGTTTGTTAATTGGGACAGATTCCTGCTGTCTGCCACTTGTGTCATTATGAATACTGAAGCTACAAGAAGCTAATGATGATAACCTTACATTTCCTGCTAACTGAAGAGCATGCATATGCCTAGGAGTGAAAATAAAATCCTCCACAGTGATTATGAATTATGCAGTTAGTTTTTCACTTATGAAGACTTCTCCTGTAAAGAAGTTCTCTATCATTGCTTTCATTAGTAACAGCATTTTTCTATACTCACTGTGAGAACACTTAGTTTCCCCTCATCAAATTTGACAGTGTGCTTTCACATTAGATATTTGAGGGGGGGTTGCAATCCCAAACCACTAACAATATCTAGATTATGCATCATTTGTGTCTCAGCACTAGGCCACCTCTCTGAACACTTCTGTCCCAAAGCCCACAAGTAAACACTGAGGAGACACATCTCTGACATAATATCTCCTCACGACAAAACCTTCTGGGCTTCATGAGTCAGAGGTATGTCTGCCTGAACTCCAAACAGAAGTATTTATAGAAAAAAAAATCTATTAAATTGAATTAAGTTTCAAATATTGATGTTACCTTGTAAGAAATTTCAAAATTTTCACCACCCCAAATTTGAAGCCCTGGATCATAGAGACCTAGTTCAAAGAAGAAATCACGTTCAATGGCAAACAATCCACCAGCCATTGCAGGGGATCTGAAAGAGAAAGACAGTGTAACCCCTTCTGCCAAAAGTCTCACTTTCAGAGAAAGCAATAGTTAAAGAAGCAATTCACAGTTAACACACAGTAAAGATCAGGTAAATGGCAATACACTGAAAAATCATGAAGCTTTGTCACCAGATTGCAGCAATTTTTTGAAGTGACATCTATATAATTTTTACTTAAGTGATAGTTCTTATTATGTTGTAGGTTTTCTTCTAAAATTAATTTATTTAATTAATGAATTTGATGATACAAAATTTTGGTCCAAATTACCCATTCAGCCAGTCAGTATGCTTCTATTAATATAAATTTTTTAAAAAAAGAGATAAGAATCAGTGTCATGATGTTTCTCTCTTGAAAGTCTTTCAAGTTTTTGAGTTAACACATGAGATGCAAAGCAGACTTAGGCTTATGTTCCGAGGAGCTGCCACATTGAAATATATCGTCTATTAAACAAGCAACAGAGTTTTCCCAGCTGAATGATACCTTCCTTATCTTCTTCCTCTAGCTCTTCTTCTACTGCTGCCATAGGAGACACTTTGCATTATACTCAGTAAAATTTTTAAGAGGGTGTGGATAAAGTTGTACAAGGTTTCCATTTTGGTTTAGTCTTTTTTTTTCCTTCCTTTTTTTTGCCTTTAACGGCTTTGTAAATCCCTTCCCATATGGTAAGATTCAATTAACAAGTTTTAATGTGTCAAAAAGATGCTGTGGTTTGGATTAGAGCATGTACTGGTTTTGGCTGGGGTAGAGTTGATTATCTTCACAGTGGCTGGTATGGGGCTATATTTTGGATTTATGCTGAACACGGTGTTGATAATACAGAGATGTTTTTGTTACTGCTGAGCAGTGCTTGCACAGAGACAAGGCCTTTTCTGCTTCTTGTACTGCCACATCGGCAAGGAAGTTGGGGGTGCATAGGGGCTGGGAGGAGACACAGCCAGGACAGGTGACCCCAACTGACCCAAGGGATATTCCATACCATATGACACCATGCTCAACATAAACTGGGGGGAAAAAGGGAGAGTGTTTGGAGTGATGGTTTGTCTTCCCAAGTAACCGTTATATGTGATGGGACTCTGATCTCCTGGGGATGGCTGAACACCTGCCTGCTCATGGGAAGCAGTGAATTAATTCCTTGTTTTGCTTTGCTTGTGTGTGTGTCTTTTGCTTTCCCTATTAAACTGTTTTTATCTCAACCCATGAATTCTCTGACTTTTACCCTTTGGATTCTCTCCCTGATCCTACTGGTGGGAGCATGAGCAAGCAGCTGCATGGTGCTTGGTTGCTGGCTGAAGTTAAACCACGACAGAGCATTTTTGCAGAACAGCTCTAAGCAAAATTCTTTGGTAGCTTGGTCACACTGAAATAGAGAGTAGGATATGTTAAGCCATTTCCAGTGCACATAGCAAGCATTTTTCACCTGAGGATCAATAAATACATAAAAACCCTAATGTATACAATCTAGAGTCCTTAGTAAGTTGACAATTTAAAAAAAAAAAAGTAAGGATAAAGTGAATTCTTTCTGACTTCAAATGATCTGCAGTGCTGAAAGGAGGATCTGAGAGTCCAGATCACCCTGGTGAGCCACATAAAACACAAGTGAAATACTCCTGCATCACCAAATTATTGAGATGGGTCATTTCAAGCACTATTCATCCATTTCTAGCACTATTTATAGTCTCTTCATTCTATTAGATTTCTAGCTTAGTGGTGTTCCTTTTAACAGCAATGTTAATGTATTTCCTTTCCACACATAAATGTCTGGAGAAAGACATAAGAAAAAGTAACCCCTTAGGGTTAACATATATCCCTCTCTGCATAGCAGAGGCAAGGCAACAGAAACAGAGCCACTGACTGTAAGTATTATGGTTATCAGTTTAGTTGCTGTCCAAATCAGCTGATCAGATGCCAAGTTACTGCTAAATGTCCCTTTCTACTTGCTGCCTATTGTATTTTCCTCCAACACTGCTTTTGTATCCCAGTGGTTCAAAGGGTAGGAAACCAGCAGGCACAGCAGGGGGAAGCACATTGCACAGCACAGCCCCGTGGCTTTCCTGTACTTTTGGTTTTCCTCAGCACCATAAAGACTTGGCAAGTGCAGATACTGAAGTTTCAGTCTGGGCCTCCAATGTGCTGTCAAGTGTGTTAAAGAACACAGTAAAATCTACATAAGCTCAGTAGTTTACTTTATAGGATATGAAGAGGTAAGCATAATGTTACTGAAAGAAGGATTCAGTCCTTGGGCAATTCTCACATTACAAAAGGTTTGTCTCTGTGCTTTAAGCTGTTGAGGATATTTTGTCTGTTTTCCTTTTAAATTAAGCAATCCTGGCTATGGTTTCAGCAAGACTTTTACTTGGTCTTACTTGCCTTGGTACTGCTGCAAGAAAATGCACACAGCCTGAACATAAACAGATGCAGGGCATTTCTCTGAAAGTATTATTAAAAATAAATTCATCTTTTAAACCATTCTGAGAACATGTGTTTTGTGTTGCTGGGAACCGTTTAAAGGATTTTAAGACCTGTTTGGATGGTAAACACAGAACACAACAGCGATTTTTGAAATAGTTTATCCCCCTCTAAGCGAATAATAAAGTTCCAATGTGGACAGCCTCACCAGAAAATGGTATTATTTATACTGTATACAAAACAGATCAAACCTTCATAACTTGCTTGCATGTGTTGCCATTTTAGCAAAGAACAATCATGGGTGCAGATAGGGAATTACCAACATCAGTTCTAACAATGTTTAAATCATATACACAAGCAATAGAAGACATCAGATTCTGAAGATGTGAGGATTGCTTTCAAATGTAGTAATACAATTAGTTAAGTGTGAAGTGGAAAGTAATAAAAACCAGCAGAACCTCAGTCTCCCAGTCTTGAAAAGCCAACCAGAAACCCCAGTTTCTAAGCTAGGGTTTCTAGCCAGTTTTTGTTTTTTTGGGAAGAAACCGTACCCCACTACAAAGTGTAATAAAAAAGCAGAACTTCAGTGGAAATTATTGGAGTTTTCTCTCAATATAAGGTGCTGTTTTAATCTTTATTCCTTTTTATTTTACATGTTATATGTATTATATTAAAACTTTTTGAAAATATCTAGCCAAGATTCTTAAACAGTATGCTTCTTTGTCAGATGTGATCTATTATGAAGCAAGTGGGAGAAATATGACAAAAGGGATTTTTTTGATACACATGCCTAATCCACCAGCTGTATGCATGCATCAGGCCATGACAGCAGGCTACAGATTTTATGCATTACCTTCTATTATAAATACTTACAGCATGCTTGTTATTTCAAATCAAATGGTTAAACAAGCACTGTTGTTTCCAACACTACTTCAAAAAAAATATCATAGCTAAATAGAGTTTCCCTGGCAATGAAGTTATATGATATTTTATTTTGCCAAACAAAACCCGGTCATTCTAATGTGCACCCTATTAACCATATAAGAGCAGGAATAGAGAGGCAACACAAGGTAGCAGAGATATTTTGTGCAAAGAGGCAGTTGTGGCAAACAGGTCCAACTAAACAAAGCAGTTAGTGTGGTTAGAAATGTGAAGATTTTCAGGCTGGAAGTACATGCAAGTTTTAGTGGATCAATATTGACTTCAGAAAAAAAAAGAAATGGGTAAGTGATTTAGTGATTACCGATACGGTTCAGTTTTTGTCTTTCTGCTTTCCTTCTCTTTCTTGGTCAAGGGAACCCTCTTCCATAGCATACTCCAATCCCACGCTCCTCTAGCAAACCCATCTTCGTCACCACCCCCTTGGGGCACAATCTTATAAGTGTTGCCATCTATGACATCTATAAGCGGCACAGTGCATGTGGTTCTGCAGGGTGGCGGGTGGTGGCAGGGAAGATGCAGGTATGTGCAAGGACCCGCACGGCACACGTGCACCGACCGTAGTTCATGGGGAAACAGGGGTGGAGGGAAAAACGAAAGGGTTTAGAAAATTATTCATAATGATTCACAGTATGTAAACAGCTCTCTTTACCGATAAGGCTCAGTTTTATGCTTTCGTTTGGACTTTTCCTTGTGGTTTAACGGAATTCGTTTCCATAGCAAACTCCAGTCCCAGGCCCCTCTGGCAAAACCATCTTCATCCCCACCTTGTTGTGGCTCAATGGAATAATCATTCCCATCTATGTAATCTATTAGAGGTACAGTACATGTAGTTCTGAAACATTTATAGAAGGGAAAGAAAGAGCAAAATACAATTTCAGAAGAGCAATCTCTCTAATCTGAAATTTACACCATTAAACAAACTTATAGAGCAGTGTATATAAAAAGTCACTTGTAAACATATTAAAAAAATGAAGCATCATTAGAAAAAAAAGATATAGTTTTTTCTTTATGCTGGATTAAGAGGTTCTGAAAACAAAAAAAGGTCTGAGATGCAAATATATCGATTTGTTTATCAGTACTTTTTCTGTTATGTGTACTTCTTGACATTGGTGTTCTAATAAAGCACTGCTGGAGTCAACAGAGGAGTCCTCAGAGGGCTAGGGTCCTCATAGTATTATTATTTCCTGCAATTTCTATTCATATTAGATCTTAGCTGTCAACAAGTAGGATAAATTCTTGGCTTTTACTAGCGTTAACACAGATATTCATCATTCTGTCCTATACAACTGCCCTGAAAATACAGCCTCTCAGGATAAAAAAACATCACTAGTGCTCTCCTAGCAGCAGTCTTCAGTAGAATTTTTACTGTTTGATTTGCAATACAATCCTCATTGTGATTGATCATATATGATATTCACCAAGGAAAAGACGTTATCTCCCCACATTTTCTAAATGAGTTTCCTAGTGACCAAACTTGAAGCACTTCCATGTTTTTAAGTGAAATCTTATGAGAGAAAAGAGTGGTGGAAAAAGAAATGTTAACACCATGCTCCTCTTTGAGGCAGCAGCAGCAGCAGCAGCAGCATGCTGCACCCAAGGCTTGGAAGAAGGCTGCCAAGCAGTGCCCTCTGGCACCATGTGTAACCTCCACCTCCGTGGGCAATGCTGGAGAATGCCTCTAAAGCTGCCTGATCTCACCAGCCTTTCTTGTGTCAAACAGTAACACACTCAATGGAAGCCCACAAGCATTTCCATCTTCTCTCTAGTGTCTTGACCCAAATATAGTCTTGAAGTTGAGTTACAGCCTTTAAAACACACAAAACCCAATTCTTCAAGTGAATTCTGGAAGCACAACAGGTTAACAAATAGTTTTTAGGATTAAGCAGCTATTTCATGGTATTAAAGAGTTTAAACATGGTTTCCTAAACACATATACCCTTGACTACACAAGCTAAGACTGTGGTGGCACACAGCAACAACATCATTTTAACAGTTGGAAGAAATGAAACCCCCAGACATCTCTCTCTTCTGTCACCGCTCACAGATCTCCCTCTCACAATGCAGGCACTTCAACCAGAAACTCCTAGCAAGTGCCTGGGCTTGTGGTAGAGACAGGCTCAAGCTCTGACCTCGCTTTGCTACAAACAACACTCCAAAGTACTTCAGAGTGAACAAATAAGGCCATATATCAAGACCAAAGATGAGAAAGTTATAAAACTCTTGAGATCACAGAGGCTTTAAATCCCCATTAAATCAAAACATTTATTGCTACTTTTCCTCTACCAAAAATCAGGTTTTTGTTTAGTTATTTTGTTTAGTCAGGCTCCTTATTCAGCTATAACAGAACATTTTATAACGGTGCCTCAGATCGTTGTAAAAAACAAGAGTTGTCTTACACGTAATCTACACTATGCAAAATATTCAGTATGCCTATTAAAACAAACTATCTAGAGATTAACTTGCCCGACTATTTTCCTTCCTCCTTATGTATCTTTTATGCTGTGGGATAATGTAATCATCATACAGAAAATATTTATATAGTTTGATATAGATATAAAACATATTGACTATAGTTTAAAAAGTGAAGATTGTTACTGTGCCTTTTTTTCCCTAAAAGGTCAGACACTGGAAATAATGGTAGAACATTACCTGTCCTTAGATATAGGAGCTATAAGTGGTGCATACCAATTAATTCCCACCTCACAATGGGCATCAAGGTAAACCAAAACCTTCAAAAGAAAAAAAAAAATATTTCTGTATACAAGATTGCAGTGATTTAATTATGCTTACTTACATTGAGATACAGACATATAAACATGAAAATGAAGATTGAGTAAAACTGATCTATTATTAAAACAGTATCAATAATATAATAATATAGTACTACATTTCCACATATCTATTGGAACGACCAAAACCTCTCCCCCCAAAAAAGATAAAAAAGACAAACTTGTGTGTGAACTGGCTCCTACCTGCCCAAGTTTAGCCTTCTGGGCTCCAATACTTCTAGCTTGGATCAAACCTTCTCTCCTCTCATTTCGAAATACCTTTACAAGGCCATTCCACTGCTTAATATAGTCATCCAGCCTCTCCTGTAAGTGAGCTATCAAATAACAAAGAAAAAAATTATTTTGGTGAGTTTTAATAATAAACAGTTTTGTACTTTTAATACAACCCCAAAATATCTACAGACCTTTACAAGAACCTTTATTTCAACCACTCACAAACACTAAAACTGAGGAGATCAAGACTTTTGACCTCATGGCACAGAGGTTTATCTCTAGCACATCGGAAGAAAAAGCATCTGAAGTAGTTGGTCACACCACAGGGAGCTGGGTCGACAATTCCCAATCACTTCAGTATATGACATAGTAGCTCACAGGTTTTCATCTATATTCCAAGTGGGCAGAGAAGTTTCTACATTTTAGCACACAGACTTTGCTCATCAGATAATGTCACATGTACAGTTGAAGGCACCACTTCTCAGTTAAACTTTTCCTTCACTTTCTGCCTCATAAAATTTTGTGTCAGTCTATTAAATCTAGAAACCTGAGGCAGGAACCCACCATGCTCAGATTATTGCCCTTCCTCATACAGACCTGTTCCCTCCTGGGGAGGTCTTCCGCTAGTCTTCTAATGAAATTAATAAGAATAATTGGAGGGTCAGAAGTGGAAATGGGACCTTTGTCAGTAAAGGGATAAGTAACCACATAATGATCAAGATGAGCTATGCTTAAATGGCTTCGGATTTGTATTTGCATATTGGTCTTTGCCAGACTACTCTGGAAACCACATTCCTATCACACAATGTGAAAAAAGGATCCTAGTGTTGCCCAGATGATTCTGTTGAGAAAACTCATGAAGGCAGCAGGGCTGATAATCAAGCACCTCCTGTTTGAGGCTATGCTGATTTAGCTACTGGTGTTCATTTAAAATCTATTTTTGTTCAAAATTTTTGTTTCAAGGCTCAAAAGAATTGCCTACAGCTTCAGTTTCTCTCAGTCAGTAAACAAAATAAGCCACTTTAGCTACAGCTGAGGCATCCATGCACTGGTTTGCATCAGCTTCAAGTGGCTGATAGATGCCTGTGCTGATCTAATCAGGAGAGGGGACATGTGGAGGTGGAAGAAGAAGGATGTCCCTTTCAACTGCAACAGGCCATCAGGTTACTTCAATAGCAACATTTCTTGCAAACTGAATGAAAACGATGAAGTCCAGAGACTTCTGCAACTTAGTTTCAGTGTATTTTATATTTTATTCTAGTTTATATTTTATATTTATATTTTATTCTAGTTTAAACAAAAGGTACATATAATTGTAGTGGAAATGGTGGGTTTTTTTAAGTAAAGCTTCCAAAATTGAAAATTCAGCAATTTTATCAAAGAACAATCTTCTGAAATCACTATCTTTTGATACGCTTATTATCCTTCCTCTCCATCTTTATAAAAGAATAAGTTTTCTCAACTGAGTTTTATGTATTCTCTTCCCACACACATTTACAATACTTTTGTAAATCCTGGTGCATTAGGAAAACCTCAAGGATACACAAATGTCAAACTATAGAAAGAACAATTTTATCACATATGCTGAATAGAATAACATACCATGTAATAAATAGAGAATATATGATATGATAGCTGTGATATAAATTTTTATAGGATAAAATCAATAGAGTTTTGAGGTCATACTGAAGTGGTACGAAGAGAATCTTTATACCACACCATTATTTATGCTGCAAATTCCAAGTATGTGTTACAGAAGGACTGTCAGGAATGTTTTAAAGATTTAAAACCTTAAGTTATTTCCAGCTCTCCTGCCTATGAAGCCAAATGTTTTAGTTATCAAATGTTCAACTATGTTAGGCTCACAGGGAGCTGTAAAAACCTGTCATATTGATTGTGTAAAGCTTTTCTACAGTACAAGCCTCAGGACTGTGCAGTCCATTATCTGAAACCATGCCAGGGTTAGCAGCAAGTGCTATTTCCCATAGGAAACCTGAATTTTTCCTCCTTCCCATACTACAAAGCCTGCATGACAGCAGTGTATAAAATCCCAATACTTTTAAAGATAAAAATACTGTTTAGCCAGCATTAAATTTTGTTCACCTAGAATATGTATTTATGACATCTGTCAACAGCCTTACAGAAATCTGTTTTTTGTTCAAAAATGTATATTTTATCTTTCAAAATATTATAACCACCAATCTGGCCTTCCCCTGTTTGAGTTCCTCTCTCACGTTTGACCGCATGATTAAAGCATGAATCAGTGTCTTTTAAAAACACATAGTTTCTCCAAAGGATCTTAGGCATTGCAGATTAGAAGCGGGGAGGAGGAGGAGGAAAGCAGGTTTTTTCCCCGTGACTCATGGACATTAGTTTGAGAACTAGAAAAATGGTATCAGAAGTCCTCCCTAAAGCAGCTGCCTTTGACTACCCTGAACTGTAATACAACTAATGTGGGGCTGTCAGCTCTAACACAAACACTGATCAGTGCTTCAGTTTCCCCATGGCAAGCACCATTAAACAGGTTAATAAAAATACTGTTACCTGTCTACTCTCATTACTTCCCTTCTGGTTATCTCACAGGATGTTGCATCAGTGGGAAATACAGATAGCAATAAAGAAAAAATAAGTAAACACAAAAGGTAGACAAAGCCTTTAAATGCTATTAGGAACACTGGTACTGACCTCACAGTCACTCTTTACAGATGCACAGACTACAAAAGCTGCACCAGCTGAGATATTGACCTCTATGCTCCAGAAAGAAAGCAAGCTGGTACCCAAATAGGTAAAAAGTGGTTGAAGACATAATACACAACCGTAATTGTAGGGAGCCTTAGAAAATACTGTTTTATGAATTCTCTTTGCCCTTCCATAACAGCTGTTTCCTTCACACAGCTAACACTCACAGAACAACAAACTGTTTCTATGAAGAAACACAAGAAAAACTGGGAAAAAAACCCCATGTGCAACAGTGTGGCCTCACTGACACTGCTGCAACACTTCTGACTCTAATACAGAGGTCTCCATTGAAAATGGAGATAGCATCATTTACTTAGCTAGGTATCATCTTCTTGTTACTGTTCCCTTTGTGCTCTGACAAAGGAAAAAACGCCAGAGTAGAATTCAGCACATATCTCTGCACAGTTCTCCACAGTCAAATCCCACTGTTTGCAGAAGAGATTAAGGAAAAAGTGTCATTCAGCAAAAAGACTGCTCCCAACTGATTTTATACAAAGAATTATAATGCAAAGAACATTTTCCAAGCATTGTAACTGTTCCTCCCTGTAAGGCATAACATATATAAGCTTCTATGCAGCTGCAACTCCCTTCTGATGAAAGAGGATTTCTCAAAAGGAAGAACAGGTAGGGGTTTTTATGAGACAGTCTTTAGAAGTGTTTGCAACCACTATGTTCCATTTTAATTTTATATTGCTGGAGAAGGCAGCAGCTAAGAAATAAGGACAGTCACACTGAGTGTGAGCAAACATCTACCCAGTCCAACACTGGGCTCCAAGAGCATAAGATGGTCTTTGCTGAGTGGAAAGGCAGATATGAAGTGTGCAGCCTGAAAGTAGGTGGGGAAAGAGAAAATCTTGTATCTGTGCTATCAGCATGGCTTTTCTTCTGGCTGGAAAAGCAAAAAGCTGCCAGCAGCTCTGCTGTGATTAAGAAAGTTTGTGTTTTACAGTTCTCCTAACAACTGGAGATGTCTTCAGGCAGCTTGGCATGCTTTGCAGCCCATACTAGTTCATCCTTCTCTCTGGGGAGAAAGAAGTGGAGTGAGATTCTACCCTCTTGGCCATTTTTCATCTAGAACACAATTTGAATTATTGAAATTAAGTTAATTATATTTACCAAGTAGTAGCCTAAAGCAGTTTGAAGAATTATTATAGTTAAATAGTGCAGTTGCAGCAAGGTGTTCAGAGCAATTCCAGCCTGTGCTTGTCTTCCAGTCACTCATACCTGGGAAAACTGCACCTTGAGCTTTCTGTATTGAATTTTCTGATTCAAGAAAGTTACTTGGGAAATTGAAGTGTGGCAAATATAGAGGCAAAGGTCTACTGGATGTTAGGTCCAGGCTAGCTATATCTGCTAACCATTCATTCGTGAGCAGAAAGCTAGAAAGTTCTATATTTCAAAATAAATTCTTAAAAAATACTGCTTTTATTTAACAAACATCATCTATTGGAAAACTAGTATGAGTTGTTATGCCAGACAAACTCATTCCATGAACTACATATACATTGCAGAGTCAGCTACAACTCACGTGAAACCCAAATACTGAGCCCTATCATTAGTAAAAAATCTGTTAAGTTTTCTAGAGACAGTCAGTGTCATAGTTACTTTATACAGCTCAGTCCTTGAATAGCTCTGAAGGAAAGCTGTGATACCAGCTGAAAAGCAAAACACAGTATATGTCTGCTGACTGAATTATTAAAATTATATTCCTTACGAGAGAAGATGTTTTTATTTTATAGCATGTGCATATATCTAAGCCAAATTCTCAACAGTTGTTACAGGATACAAGAGACTATAATTTAGCATTCAGAATCTTTATTAGACTAAGCTAAACACAGTCAAGTTTACAATACAGGGAACGTTTCCTCTCCTGTTAAAACAAACAGAAAATGATATCTACCTATCTACAGGTACAATGTGAGAATTGACACAAAATAACTATTTTTAATAGTGACTTATACTCAAAAAAAGGTAAACTCAGCTATGTGATGAGTTCAGTTTTAAAATTTATAGTGGATATACCCACAGAAAACAACTCCCACAAGGCTGGAACTGGGAGAAGCCCAGATCACTTAATAAAAACAAGAGTTTCAGAACAGTCATCTGTTTTCTATGCCGCTGCACAATTCAGCTATTATAAAAACAAAGAGGAGGGTATCCTGTGCTGCTGACCAAACTTGCCTGTGCTCCTAAAGTCATCATCATTGTCTAGAAGAGACTGTTACTCCACACATTCAAAATTATGATTTTATTTATGGGTCTACCCTTTTTCTCTTTGACTTCTATTCAAGAATTATGCTGCAATAAAATCCTACAGACTGTGCAGCTCTGATGCACTCTTTTTGAAATTTGTTTAAAGTTTAAAATCAGTCAGATTTCCTCTATATCAGTCAACTTATATCTCTAGGATACCATTTTCAGTTCTTCTCTGTATTCAGCCTTGAGTTGCATTAACACTGAAGTTATCACCATTAAAGGAAAAAAAAATCAGTTTACATTTATATTTATACAAATCACATATAAGTACCTGCATCCTGACTATAAAACCAAGACTAGAATGTAAATCACAAAGGATGAAGAAAATCTCTGGACTTTTGTTGATATGTAGGACTCAAAGAAAGGCAGAAATTAAAACATACTTAAGTTCTTATAAGTTCCTTTCCTAAATATAATGTTTAATTTAAAAAGGATGTCAGAATCTAAAAGCATATTGAAAATGAATCAGATAATTTGATATCCTTAGATACCTTTTAATTACAGTTAAAAACAAAGCAAAAAAGAGACATCTAAATTCCTATATGGAATAAAGAAAGCCTTAGTTATTCCTAATAGGCTTAGCTCAAATGCCTTTGATACTGTTCAAACTACTTGCTTTCACAAGAGCTATGAGGGGTACCAGGTATCCCAGCTTTCTTCTATATACTACTCAACAACTGTGGCAGAGAACTTGCTACAAATCCTGTATTTCAAACAATGAATACAAAGGATTGCCACCTTTACAAGAGCAGTTCATTGGAAGAGCTTTCCCTTCACTGAAAACTCAAAGGACTGTGAAGAAGCAACCTACTTTCCTTCCAGAGTCAACATGGCAGGCAATAAATCAAAAGAAAACTATTTTAAGAAAATAAAAGTTTCCTTTTCTACAAGTAGTGTGTTAATATTCTAAATATACCTTTGTTGCTAAAATCATCAATCAGCACAATTTCTGCCAAGTATTTCCTTGGTGTTCTCTTAATGACACTGTGGACTGTCCTCATGAGCGTGGACCATCCTTCATTATGGAAGACAATGACAACGCTGGAGGTGAGCAGGTTATCGTCATAGTGCCAGTATTTGCATCTGTAAAAAGATTTGATTTTATTAGTTTTCACAATGTGATTACAGAACTGCTTAACAACACCTTTGTGCAAATGACATCTTCAGTCATGGCTATCCTTCAAATTTAAGAGGAAGAGGATTTAAGAGGTAATACAGCTTAAGTGCATTACAGAGGTATGAGGCCCAAAGAGCAACTTCCTTCCCACCTAGAGCCTTTTTTCCTCCTGAAAGAGGTGCGATGCAGCTGGTAAACGATGACTTCTGCCTCAACATTTACATGTTTCCTCCTGTGTAGGTGGCTGGTATTGCACAGACCCCACCAAGAGACCCCTGTCACCACCACCACCACTTTGCTGCTTGTGCAGCCAGTAAAGAACAGTGGAAGAAAAGACCCAGACTGCAGCTGTGATGAGTGTCCTCTTCAAAACATCACACTTCAGGATGGGCTGCATATTTGGCTCACCAACTGCATCATGTACACAATAAGGAAGTGCTGTTTCTTCCTAAGGTTCTTAAAATCATATTTACCCAGTAGAAAGACTCTATAAAATATTTCTGTTTGCTTTATACAGTCCACATGCAGAAACTAAATAATTAGCAAAGTTACATCGTTGTGGCAAGGCAAAACTCATTAATTTCTGCTCTTTCACAATAAAATAAATTTAAACATAGTAAGTAAACTTGCTAGAAGTACAGCAGCAGCACATGAAAAGCTCATGTCATCTGCTCTGCATAAAACTATTTCCTTTTGCAAAAACCATCAGAAAAGCATAGTTACTCATGGGAAACATGTAATCCCATGGCAGAGAAAATGTGATTTTTACTATTCATTATCCATGGTTAAACTTTTAACTTTAACTATAAAAAAACCCCAACCTTACAAAATCCATTCAGCCCTCCATTCCCTTACTCAAAATGCTAAGTCATGTGTTTCACCATATGCAGGAAGTTAACAGCTTTGGCTAAATTTTTGCAATCATACATTTCTCTTTTAAACAAAATACAAACAAAAATTAAAAAAAAAAAAGACTGCCAAACACAAGTTTCAAATCTGGTCCAATTTCAGTGGGCTCCTTTCTTGAAAGATATGAAAACACATGGATAAAAAACACACAAGACAAGAGAGAAGAAACCAGACAAAAATACTGCAGAAAACTCAAAGGAATAAAGTGAGAAACTGAACACTGAAGTGCTGCCAAATTTTAGAAAAAGACAAGAATTCATAAATCATTTGAAAGTGTAATGTCTAAATAAAATTTGACAAAAACACTATCACAATAACAAAGAACACACATTTTGATCAAAGTTAACAGTTTCTAACTCTACAAATGCATTAAATGGGAATTCAAGCAACAGGTTCAATTCAGTATGCGTCTGGCTATAATATACATCTTTCTAGTAGCCAACATGACAGATCACAATTGCATCAAGACTACCCAATGTCAGAAAGAGTGACATAGGAAACGTAACTATTGCCTATGTTCATCTCTATTAAACTTTTTCAATTGAAGTATCTGTATCAATGGGTTCTAGCTTGGTGTGCCATGAAACTGTATTCATTTAAAACATTTTGCATTTCTATTTCTCTGTGGACCTGGACTAGGGTATTTTTTCCTGAGGGGTTAAAAATTTTTTAGAAAACAAGCAATATGAGTATTTCAGTCCACATTTTCTGATACCTATTAATCACATTTATAAACAATGGATTTAATTTGCAACTATAATGTTCATTTCCCCAACTGCATCCCAAAGTAAGACTGTTCACAGTCTCCCTAATTACAATCAGTCCATGTATTTCCTTAACTGGAAGCTTCCCCAGCTGATCACTAGCCTCTTTTCCAACTATAATAATTCAATTCCTATCACCAAACACACAGATATAGCACTTTTGATTTCAATGAGCAAAATCCTTCCTTTTTTCATCTTTCAGCAAGTAAAGTCTTTAACAGAGAAAGTCTGACTTTTCAAAGACATCTATCATGTATTAAGAAATTAATAGTGACAGATAAAAACTTTTAAACTTACAGATGCACAAACTTCCATAGTTATAGTTCTCTATATACAATAAGAAGCTTAAGTGCACAGAAACATTCCTGTGTTTGAAAAGAATGGCCTTAATCATCAGAAATCCCCAGAGTTTTTGAAACTACTTCAGTTACACATGGAAAGAACTCAACAGATCTACAGGTATTTAAAGAGTGTGTCTTTGGTGAAGAAGGACACATTTCACTTATTGTCAGGGAACAGCATAAATATTTATTTCTCACCTCACAGAAAATGAAAGACATTTGGTAGAAACATGCTATTAATTTTGGTCCTGTGGGAAAAGAAAATTACAGAATCAAAACAAACTACAACAAAATGGTATCTAATAAGGTATTTCTTTTCTTAGGTGAGCTGTAAGCAACGTCTGAAATAGCACGATCACTAAAAGTACAACTTACTGACTAAAGTCCTCCAGCTCAATTGTTTTTACACCTGAAGTAGATGCAGCTAATCATAGTTACAAATTACCAACATACAAGTGCTAGACTGGCTGTTTAAAAGGTTCAGGCCACAGATGCCTTCCTTACACAGATCATTCTCAAAGATTCCAGCTGATTACAGAACGCAGTGCTACCATTTGTAGCACAAGCATTTAAACTGTCAACAACTTAGTTAGCCATTTGCAGAGATAAAATTGATATCCTACCTAGGTGTGTTAAGTGGGGTGTGTAAAAGGAATATTTAATATGTTTAATAACAGATTTATAACAGAACTGTGTTGCTTTACGCATATATATTAATTTTGGTGATACCGTTATGTTAAAATAGAGGAAAGCGAGGTGTCATACATTCAAAAAAACAGCATAGCAGCTGAATGTTGTTCAAGAGTTCTGTTTAAGAGGTAGTAGAATAGCACCTTTTGCCTCAAAGGAGAAGGCAGTATGTGATGCACTGTGCCCCTGACCTGCACCTTCAGCAGTTTAGCCAGGAAACTGTTTTGCTCTCCAAATAAAAAGACCACAGTTGCAGACTGCCTTCAAGGGCAAAAGCAAAGCAAACACTGAAAAAGAACTCAAATCTTTTGGTTGCTTATTTCTTCCACTTCCTGCAGTATAGGTTAGTCATATTTAGCAACAAAATGGTGAAGAGCATAAGAATGAATGACAGTATGTAGCTTTATGTAATTTTAAAAAGCTGAACCAAGTACAAACTCCTGAATTTAACAATACATCTGTGAGCAATTTATAACACTTAAGTAATTTTTGATCTGTATTTAATAAATTTTTAAAACATAAACCCAAAGGTCTAGAAAGGCTTTTTGCTATACATCTGACTTAATCTCTTCAAATCTGTCAACACGCTTTACTTTTTAAAGTTGAAAAATCATGTGTTGCTAAATGTGCCATTTGCAAGCAGTGAAGCACTAAATTTATATCTCTAGTAAGACCATGCTTTTAGTTTTTTTCCAGAGACTTTATTTCACTCATTAGACAGTCCATAGTTTGAATCATCAAGCCCATAAGCTCTGATAGACTGCAGTAACTCCTATGCACAATCTTCTCTCTCATCTTACACTGAAAACTAGAGGTTTGAAATATAGTAGTTGTTTCAGATATGTGCAATTAATACATTTTTTAATCTCTGTGGTAATTTTTTCCCAATAAATGTGATGGTTGCTCAGGGATCTGAGCAACAAAAGTCAGGAGCCTCAGCTCTCATTTCCTTCACGTCTACAGGGAAGGAAGCAGGGAAGAGCCTTTCCTCAGTGGAGCAGCACTGACATCCAGTGGTGGGCAAACCACATACCAAGAAATCATAAATGCATTTTCCTTGTGTTTGGTGCTAAATTTTAGAGTACTGTTTTCCCTCCAGGTTTTAGGCACCAAAAAAAGGAAAATAATATGCCTGAATTTCCAGGAACTTGCTTTAGTTTTAAAAGAGAGGGTCAATGTTCAGGCAAAAGCTGCAAGCTATTGAAAACTAGCATGAGCAGATTCAAAGTATAAAAGGGTCTATGACAAAGAGGATTTAAATATGTTTCAGCCTCTAGCTTCATCCGCTGGGTGCAGTCCTGCCCACATACCAGCACAGTGCCCATTCAGGTGTAGCCTGCAGGCCAGCTGTGGCAATACACCATGCACCAAGCTAGTTAACAAAGTCACTTAAAAAAATATTTTGAATTCTTATTGGTATAGCTGAGAGGACGGCACATTGCAGCAGATTTGCAGGAATAACAGGGTAGCATCCTCAAGCAAGTTTTGCCTTTAGATAGGTCACATCACTTTTCCTGAATCCTGTAAAGAGTTACTGTATGGGCAAGAGTAACAGGCGTGCACAGATCTGTGAAGGGCTGGCAACACCTTATCTGGGCAGTGCTGCAGGGAAGAAAGAGCAGCTCTGTTTCCCCTTTCCTTGAGGTACTCATGAGTGAAAGGAAACAACACCTTTGGATCAGTCCATGAATAAAAACTTAGCATTCCCAAATCAGCACCAGCATTATTGAGCAAAACCAGAAGTGACTCATCACTGGAGCAAGACGAAACCTTTCAAAAGGCACAGTAGTGATCTAACTGAGGAACAGGGTGAGTAATGTTTCTTCTGACTATTAGCCTGCATACTTGGAATGTGAATTAGTTCTACTCCCTCTCCACCCCCCCAAGAGGAATAGCACTGTGGGAGCCTGTGTCATGTCAGGATCCATTTATCCCTCAGTCATAAAGCTGTGCACCAGCCACATCAGAAAGGAGCTCTTTTATGGGGGATCCCTCTGGACAACAAGCTGGGCACCTGGGCTAAAGTGCTCCTTGGCTTGAGGAAATTTCTGCTCTTACAGTTTTGGACTCTGTTCATTGGCTTGCTCTTACAGATGTCCTGGGGCCCCACAGTCGTGATCATGGGTACATGGTCCAAGGATGGGATGACCGTACAGACTCCCTGTTAGTAACTGCTGAAGATGCAGACACAGACTCGAATTTTCTCAGGCTAAAAAGAGCCAAGACTGGAGTCTCCTTCTCCTGGAAGAGTAATCCAGCCAC